ATCTATGCCTACCATGTCCTCATGCCTCCAAGCAAAGACGTCAAGGTTCTTGCCTAGGAAATCCTTAATCTTTTCTCTCAAAATATTGGATAGGCCTCTGCTTACTTTCAACACCTTGGACGGATCTCGGGGGTCGGCTGGGAAGCTCTCAAGTTCCTCTACAGGGAATGCTTGAGACTCATGTTCCATTATGCAGGGGTCGATCTCATTAACGATCAGCACCTCCTGATTAAGCGGTGCGTCAATCATATCAACATCTTCCTGATCAGTGGGAGCGTCACCTGGGACATCCGCCACGACCATATCAGCCATGATCACGTGGACGTCCCGGGGCTCTACCTTCTTAATGGAGCTTAGATAGCACTCTCTCAAGCGGTATTGTGCCCGTAGGACCTGTGGTACAAACAGTATCCTGAGAGGTTCGGATTGGACCTATTTCTAGGTGCAAAACCTCGGCCTCTCCCTCTACGGGGTCCCTGCTGGGCCTCCATCTAATGTGGGTCAGCAGTTGGGTTGACATCCTCATATGCCAAGGTAGGGACCGCGTTCAGAGTTGTGGTGGCCAGAGCTTGGCCGGAGTTCTCATTTCCGACTTGGTTCATCTGGTAGTCCATGAGGCGGGAGGTTGGACCCCTACCTCGCTGTCTTTGAGGAGGTGGGAGGCCTCTACTTGCCCTGTTCCTATGCTCAATCAATTCTTTATTGATTATCTCCCTTCTCATCATCTCTAGTAGGGCGTCATAGGTGGTGGGGTCTTGATTCTGCACATCCCTCCAGAATAGGGTGTTCATGTTCAAGCCTCCTCTCAATGCAGATAGTGCTTCTTTGTCGGTGACTTGTACGCAGTAGGTCATCTCGTCGGTGAAGCGGGATAGGAAGCTTTTTAGGGACTCGCCATGTGTTTGTCTCATGTCTTGGAGACGCTTGATGGGGGCCTCTCCTTCCTCGCTCACTGCGAACCTCTTCAAGAAGGTAGTCTTGAACTCGGGCCAGCTTCGGATGCTCCCAGGTGGTAGCCTACTATACCAGANGGGCGGGGGCCTGTTCGCCTAGGGCGAGTCATGTCTTTCTCTGGCGGGTTCCTGCCGGGAGCGGTGTGCATAGTCTCTGCAATCCGCGGTATTGTGCCCGTAGGACCTGTGGTACAAACAGTATCCTGAGAGGTTCGGATTGGACCTATTTCTAGGTGCAAAACCTCGGCCTCTCCCTCTACGGGGTCCCTGCTGGGCCTTCATTTGATGTGGGTCAGCAGTTGGGTTGACATCCTCATATGCCAAGGTAGGGACCGCGTTCAGAGTTGTGGTGGCCAGAGCTTGGCCGGAGTTCTCATTTCCGACTTGGTTCATCTGGTAGTCCATGAGGCGGGAGGTTGGACCCCTACCTCGCTGTCTTTGAGGAGGTGGGAGGTCTCTACTTGCCCTGTTCCTATGCTCAATCAATTCTTTATTGATTATCTCCCTTCTCATCATCTCTAGTAGGGCGTCATAGGTGGTGGGGTCTTGATTCTGCACATCCCTCCAGAATAGGGTGTTCATGTTCAAGCCTCCTCTCAATGCAGATAGTGCTTCTTTGTCGGTGACTTGTACGCATTAGGTCATCTCGTCGGTGAAGCGGGATAGGAAGCTTTTTAGGGACTCGCCATGTGTCTGTCTCATGTCTTGGAGACGCTTGATGGGGGCCTCTCCTTCCTCGCTCACTGCGAACCTCTTCAAGAAGGTAGTCTTGAACTCGGTCCAGCTTCGGATGCTCCCAGGTGGTAGCCTACTATACCAGATTTCAGCCGCTCCACTGAGGGTTAAATGGAATGCTCTGCACTTCACGGCTGGGGTGGCGCCCCTCAGACTCATGTGAGTTTTGTAAGCATTGAGGTACTTTTCTGAGTCACCTCTTCCATCATACTTTGGTATTTTTGGCATGACATAGTGGCTCGGGACCTGGGCATTTCTTAATTTTCTTAAGAATGGCAGGTTCTCATGATCATCGTCCAAGGCACAGGACCTCTGCTGCTCATCAGAATCATAGTCATTTGCCTCGTACCTTGGTTGTTGGTGAGAGGGTCTGGGCCGGTTCCTAGCCTCTTCCTCCCTCCACTGTGGCCTACTTCTAGGCGGGATAGCGCGAGGGGCATTTTCATGCCTTCTCTCCAGCTGCTGGGGCATCGGAGGTGGAGGCTGTGGCCTCGTCCGAGGCTGCTGAGCCTGCTATTGACTGAGCCTCGGTTCGGCAGAGTTGATTCTGTCAAAGACACTTCCTGCTCTCCTATGTCTTGGGTCTTGCTCATATGGAGGTGGAAAGTTATCATGGCTCATTTGGACCTCGGTGGGTCGGCCAGATGCATAGTTGGAGGAAATGTCGACTCCCACTTCCCTCTCGAATGGGCTTTCACCTCGGCCATAGTCTGGCAAGGCAGCCCTATGACTCTAGACCTCGTCCTCTTGCTGATAGTGCCTGTGGGGAGCATATGGAAGAATGGAGAAGCCTCCCTGACCTTGCATTTGGGCCATGAGCTCATGGCCAAGTTTTGGTTGGCTATATCCCTCATGTTGGCTGCCATGGTAGCCATTTCTCTTAATAGTCGTGCTGTCGCACGCATCCCACCTCTCCTTTGGTGGTGGTGGAGCCTCGGCCGAGCTGCTGGGGCAGTAAGCTGGGGAGGCACATTCGTGCTTTCTCTTACCCTCCTTGGGGGAGTGTCTTCGTTAGAACTCATTTTTCTTTTATCAAATTTAGATTTCTTTAAGTGATAGGGGTTCCTCCTGTTCTTTTTTAAAAACAAATCCTTTTTCAAAGGGGGTTGCCCAAATATTTTTCAGTAAGCTTCTACCACAAGGTTGCTCGTGGTTATGGTATGATTTCCCACAGACTGCGCTAATCTGTTGACCCCAAAAGTGCGCCAACAGATGTCAGTCCCACCCGCGCTTGCGTGGGCGAATGTCCAACACGTTAAGACACGTGGACGGTCTAAAACGAGCGGTTCAAAGGGGCGTGGGAGTAGCCCAACGACGCGGGACGTTGACGTTCGGAATCCGACGAGTTGTTCATAATCCGATTGTACAATAATTACCAACCGGTGCTCGTAAATGTATATGTAAAAGTGTATAAACTCGATTTGTGTATTACAAGTAAAATGAGAGAGAGTTGAGTAAATGTAGTCTTTAGTATTGATTCTTGCATTAGCCTTTGACATTACACAATGGAAGTATTTATAGTAATACATATGAAATGGGAGCCCTTGGATGAAGTGGCACGTGGTCTCATCTCTTTAGTTCAAACGTCTTTTCTTAGGTATGGGGCTTGACTTGCAGGCTTACGGCACATTTATTGTTTGCGCAGGTCCTTCATACTAGTGACAAGACTTGATATTTATGCTTGTGACAAACGTTCCATCAATCATTCGAATAAGATCTCTGAGCAGGCGATCTCTTGGGAGACGTGATTGTGGAGGAAGCTCCTTGTGGTTAAGAGGCTCGTGCCTCAGTTTTGGGGTTTCGACCATTTGACAAATACTTCCACTTGAGGACCTCAGCTACATTCAACAGGTTCCAGGCTTCGGGTCATGGGCCTCGGTAGTTGGACTTCGGCAGACTAGCGTACATCGGATCAAGGAGTCTCGGCGGATGGACCTCGGCTTGAAGCACTTCGGATAAAACCCACTTCGGCAATGTGTGCTACCTCGGCAGGAATGCCACGTGGATCAGGATGAGTGGACCATTGGCCCAGGTGGATAGGACAGGTGTGACAATACGCAACATTTGTTATTTCTTTTTTCTTTGGCAAACCTATAACCATGCCCTTTCTGGCTATCCGTAGCTACAGTAGCACAGTGGTGTTTGGCAAATGAATTTTTGACTAATCCTGCCGATTTTGATTGAATGATTTTTCGTTTTCTTAATATGTAATCAGGCCAATCAAATTGGCATTGTTTCCTGACGACAAAAGAAGCTTAGAAAAGTATTCAGTTGTGTGCTTCATGTAAATCGTGCAAGATATTGCCTGAGGCGATCATTGCTGTCTAAATAAAACCATATTATTCCTACTACCTATTATTGATGTTCACAGGACAATTCACTTCTTCTTAATAATATATATAGTATCATCTTTTCCCCTTAAGTTCTGAACTTCTGATCCTCTGCTGCCAGAAACCTTGTCAACTTATATGCACTTGTCAAACTGCCTAGGCTTCAGCTGCTGGGAAGTTGCAGTTTTTTTTTTTTTTAACTTTTTGCTCACATCATTGAATTGAATTTTAGCTGTAGTTCTGAATAGTGCTGTGATATCCTTGCCGATTCTTTGACTACAACTGGCCATCTGTTTTCTGTTCAACAAAATTTACTTTGACATTAAAATATATATATACATAATAAGTACCTATTGATTCATTATATCACTCTTTTCCGCTGAAACATCAGCTAGTTTTACCTCTTTTCCTTAAAACTCATATTTGATAAGCTTCTAAAGTTATGTATCATCTTTCTATGCAATTTCTTGATTGCCATAATTTGATTTCGTAATGGAGCGTGCCTCAGCCTCAAGAGTTTCTTTGATTCCATTGGTTTTTTATTTCAATCAGAGCACTTTCTTCTAGAATGTTCACCTTGGGAACTGATTTATGTTTAACTTCAATCCCAGTTACTTTATTACTTTTATATTTCTCTAAGGGATCACATCCATTTGTTGCAACAATGAATATGACTTGGAAGAGGATGTGTATAACGTCTAAAAATCATGGGTGACAGTCCCTGAATCTTAAATGCGGCTGTGTTGGAACTAATACATTATTTAGATGCTTAAGAGTTCAAAGGAGCTCTTTATAGATATTTGATACCAATACAGGTGAATGGTTCTTCAAGGGTATACAATATCAAATTGTACTTTCATATTCAGTCATACAAGAATTATTAGTTGGAGTACAATGCTCTAGTGGGTCATGATTAAATACATGACTTGTGGCTTAAAGTATTCTACTCTTATTTACCTCTATATATTGTCTTATGGGAGCTACAGTATGGCTTGAAAATGAGCAGTCCATAATCTCCAATTATGTGAAACAGGGAAAATTGAAGATACTCTGTCTTTAGTTGAAGATGAGTTCAAAAAGATTGTTAAAATCAATTTCATGGGTGCATGGTATCTTTTGAAAGCTGTTAGTCAAAGAATGCGGGATCAGAAATCTGGGGGATCCATTGTTTTTTTGACATCAATAATTGGTGCTGAAAGAGGGATATATCAAGGAGCTGCAGCATATGGTTCATGTTTGGCTGGAGTCCAGCAGCTAGTAAGGGTGAGTGAAATGACTTTTTATCTATACATTTTTTCTGTTATGACATTTATCTGTATGAAGAAAATTGCTCATCATCATTAGACTGTATGTTGTACTTTTAGAGTTCATATAGTTGAAGTGAGAATTTTGAGTTTAATTTAGTTTCACACACCCTTATGATTTTTCTGAAATAGACGAGAGTTGACATAGTTCTCCAGTTCCTTCATTACATGAAGAATATTACAATAGATCACCAACATTGCAATTTCTGCGTTAGCTTTGTCTGTTGGTTAACTTAATAACATGTTTGTTGTCATTAGTTTGGCTATCGCAAGAGAGAAAATGCTGTCTACTTAGTCCAAGAAACCAAGTGCAGCTGCGACTGAAGCTTCACATGAAACGGGAATTAATCTTAAAGCAAGTCATCTAAATGAAATTCTTGAATGTGCAAATGTTAGAGCATCTGAATCAGTAAAAGACATTCCAATAGCTTAAAGTAAATAAGTTTAGTTTGTTTAGCTAAAATAACCTTTTAAAGTTTTGTTGGAGATAGGTTGTCTTTTTGCCAACAAGTCATTAAACAATCCGCAGAATTTGCACGAACCATTTTGTTTTTGTTGATATTCAGTAGCCTCACAAGAATATATCTAGTTAATTAATTGGAATAAACACTGGAAGCTGTTAATTTTTTTAGCTGATGATAAATCAGTTTCAATTTTGTTTTATTTATATGTTCTATTATCTGCAGACGGCTGCAATGGAGATAGGGAAATATGATATAAGGGTTAATGCAATAGCTCGTGGTTTGCATCTTAACGATGAGTTCACTGTATCAGTGGGGAAGAAGACGGCAGAGAAATTGGTGAAGGAAGCAGCACCATTGCATCGATGGCTTGATGTTGAGAAAGATCTGGCATCGACTGTCATTTACTTAATCAGCAACGGCTCAAGATATCTGACAGGGACTACCATATTTGTTGATGGTGCACAGTCTCTGGTGAGGCCTCGAATGCGGTCATACATGTGACGTGCACAGAATATAATAATTGATTCTTGAAATATCATAATGCAACTCGTGAGAATTTCCGCGAGTTTTATAGTCTTGTCTACGAATTTAAACTGCTTATGTTTTGCCTTATTATTTGATGTAAACATGGAGATATATCGCTCAGCATTTGAGAAAATTTCTTTACATCATTGACTAAATTTCTTTCAAGATGAACGAACAGGTTTTACTCAAAATTATGCCAAAATTAGCCCATATATGCCATTTTTCCAACACTATTTTGACATAAATTAGCACATCTGAAGTTAGTGAACAAGTTTGTTACTATCTTTAACGAGAAAAAATATGGCATAAGGAAAATTGGACGAAGCCGGAAGTGAAGACTTGTTGTACACTTACTTTGACAGATAAACTATAAATTTGCTTATTTCGTAAATTGGAGGCTAATTTGCAACTCAATCAAAGGCTGGGGGACCAATGTTGCAATATTTTCCAAATTATTTATTTCTTTTCTTTTCTTTTCTGACTGATCATGCGCGCTTTATCTAAAGAGATTTCTTCAAAGTAAATAAAATAAAATAACCTCAAATTCCTCGCAAGCATCTTTGATTTTTCTGACATTTGAAAATTAATGCAGTATTTGGATGCGCCATTATTAGGACGTTTTCTATTTGTTTTTCATTAATGATGTAATATATACCTTTCAATCCAAAACCTTGCTATATGTACGTGAAGCTTTATATAATGAGTTACATAATATCGCATATCACCCTATTATTTGTTAGTTTAAAATACAATCCACTTTTTCATCCAATCTTTTCTCTCCACATCATTTCATGTAATACCTTACATACCATTTTCATCTACTAGTATAATCAAAGATATAATAGAACTAATGTGGGTCATTACAAGACCAGCCCATAGCCAATTTTGGGACACCATAATGTAGGCCAGGTGCCAGCTGATCACTATGGCAAGCCCATCCTTTATGGGCATTTTAAGAGCCCATTTCTTTAAACTTACTGTTCACCAGCACATTTGCTAGTTTTTCTCCCTCCTACCTAATACCAATCTTGTTGATGAGGACATAACAATGTTTGGTTCCTCTTTATAAATTATTTATAAACACTCAAATCATTTTTTTATCCACACATTTAAATAATCTGCAAGTACTAATCACTTATTTGTCATTCATTTATATCAATTTGTAATTTAAACCATCAGTAAACACTTCCCTAACATGCTCTTATTGCAAGAGATGGAGGACGAGAAGAGAAGGATCAACCCAATGATAAAATACTTAAAACAGACTTTGATCATTCATATCCTTTCTCCAACTTGCCTTCCTCTTTACTAGTTTGGTAGTAAATTGTGTGGTCGTCATCGTGGGCAGATCCAACCTTGAGGTTGAACACGAGCTACAATACAAATATACATGAATTTATCCTTAAAAAAATAATAAAATAAAATAGATTAGACATTTTCAGGATCCCAACACGAGCTATAGCATGGTTGAGCCCGTGCCTCGATCCGCCAGTGGTGCTGTTGCTTGATATGTGTAAATAAATAAAAAGCAAATTACGTAATACATGTACAAAATCACATAACATAATATATAGAGTCAAATTAGGGACATGTAAATCACGAGGAAATACATGGAAATGACCTTTGGACTGTAGCAAATTTTAACATTGACCTTTGACCCATTAAATGAATAAAAAAAAAAGTTAAAATATAACTTTACACTAAAAGGGCAATTTTACCCCTTTCCTATACAGACTGTTTGAAAGTGAAATCTAACCGACCGACCTTCGAAAAAAATCGACGCCACAGTTGCCTGAAGAACGATCGATCAACCACCGGCCGAAACCACCAACGTTCAATCGACGACCTGCACGCTACCGGGCGCTATTTCGGTTGGTTTTGTCGCGCTCGAAGTTTATTAAAAGTTCCAGTTTTTTCATTCATTATTTTTACGTTCATTCGGTTAATTAGATTCATGCATGAGTAACTAGTTAGATTATGGGTCATGATGGGGTGAAAAATGTAATTTTTTTATTTTTATTTTTTGTAATTTTTGGACCACTCCATCATCGACAATGGTGATTTCGGCTTAGGGAAGACGACTCGACTGTTAACAGTCAATCCAGACTCATATATCTATATTTAAGTTTTTATTTGTTTTTTATCAATTTTTATAATTAATTTATTTTTTTATTTGATTAAATAGTAATTATGTTATTTATTTATTTATTTAATTTTTATAATTGTCTTTTATTTATATAATTTAATAATTGAATATTATCTAAAATTAACAATTTATTTTGTTCCTTTTATTTTTGTTTTTATGAAATAATCTTTGATTTTTTTTCAAATTTATTTAGATAATATATTTGTTCTTTAAATTTTTTAAAAATGTATTTAATTTGAAATTTTTTTTTCGTAAATATATTTTCCAAATGATTAAATAATAATTATGTTAATTTTTTTTATAATTGCCTTTTTTATATAATTTAATAATTGAATAGATAATGTTGTCCGAAATTAACAATTTATTTTGTTCCTTTTATTTTTCTTTCATGAAATAATCTTTGATTTTGTTCTAATTTATTTAAATAATATTTATATTCTTTATTTTTTTTAAATGTATTTAATTTGAAATTTTTTTTGTAAATATATTTTCCAAATGTAATATACAAGATAAACTAAATTATTTTAATTTTTAAATTTGCATTGAATTTATTTTGTTATTAGCATAAATGTCTTGCGTATTGTATGGTAGTTATAATTCGGTTGTCTTGATTTTTTGAGATTATGTGTTACTTTATTATCTATTGTTCAATGTTCTAACATTTGAATATTTGCATGATGGAGTATCATTTTGATGGGGAGTTGAGACGGATGACGGGGAAAGCTACTTGGAACAATAGTTTTGAGAGTTTTACTGCGGTGTTGGAGCTGCTTGATGATCATCACGGAGATATGCTGCAACAGTCCTTTGTTGATCATCACGGAGATATGTATACGACCTAGATCATTCATGTTTGACGCAAGGCCAACTAGAGCAAAACCTGGAGTCCGTAGCTGTAATTGTTTCATGATGGCTAGACAAACGGGGATGACTGTACAAGAAAGATTGCGGATTGTTCGGAACATGACGACATCGCGACAGTCCGAAAGGTAAGTGTTTGAACTTTGTTGTTTTTATCTTTCAGATTTAGTTTTTTAGCTACACAGTACTGAACTGATCCATTCTTGTTCAATTGTAGCGGCGACTGCGGCATATTTGTCGTTAAGTACATTGAATTTTTAAGTATAGGACATAAGGTTGATGGAATCAACCAATCATGGATACAGAACTGGAGAAAGAAGCTAGCATGTGACTTGTTCGAATTTAATGGTAACTCGTAAATTTGTATTAAATATATACAATATTCGAATTATAAATTTAATTATTTTTTGTGATTATGAAATAATTGTAAATTTGTATTCGATGTATATAACATTGACATTGTAAATTTAATTATTTTTTTATTATGAAATAATTGTAAATTTGTGTTCAATGTATATAATTATTTTTCTGTAAGTTGATTTTTAGTTATTTTACACATATGCTAAGAATGGAACTAATTTTTTCATATGAATCATTGTAAATACCATTTATCAAGAATAAATATTGAACATTGAACATTTATGAAGAACAAATATTGAACGTACCTATCTAATTGTCATTTAGGGGAATTTGACTAGTACAAAATTGTCGAGTATGCCCTATGGCTCTGCACCTGCCACACCTACGGGGTCGAGGAAACTTTTCGGTAGATGGTATTCTAGATGTACTTGGACGTCCAGGACCACGCGGTTCAACTGCTGGTGGCAACAAATCATGAAACGTGAGAATGTGCTCTGGAACTTCCCACTCGGCTTCATTCAGTAGAGAAAATATAGTGTCAGCATATGCTATTCTCCAAAACTCAGTCGTATAATACAAAAAACATAACGTTCTCGCTGCAAAGCCTCAATACATGGCCATCGCAACTGCATGCTCATATGGAAAACTCTCCAACTGAAATCTCGTACAAGTGCACGTGTTATCAGTCAAGTCTACCATATATGCCATATTATGTGCACATTACACGGAGAAGCAGAACTCATCTAGTGCTTTCACATTCAACTTCCTCGCAATCTCTGCCGCCTTAAAGAGTTTCTCCTCTTGAGTTGGGGCCAGCACGTTAGTGTAACTCTGTGATGCCGCACGTCGGTAATGAAACCACTGTTGCAGCTTGTTACGAATGTTCTCAATCATTGTGAGAATTGGTAACTCTCGATCCTTCTTAAACAATGCATTGAGAGACTCCGCGTTATTCGACATCATTATGTTGTATCGACATCTTGGAAAGTATGACCGCGCCCAATGTTCAAACCCCATGTTCGTCAGATACTCCAACGCCGGTAATGATTTACTTCCTATCTCAAACATGAACTTATTACACTCTTCAGCACTGTAAGTTTCGGCTGCTCTCCTGAACAATGAAACGATGCCTTTGTCCTGATACCTATTTTTCAAATTACCTTGTCCATGGTACATGCAATACTCGTGATGTGCCTCTGGAAAAAATTCAACGATACCATTTATTATAGACTATCCCCAATCGGTTACAAAGGCAAGGTCTTCGATTTCCCCGATCACTTCCCTCGGTTTCGAAAAGAACCAACGCATGGATAGACCATTCTCGCTGTCGACTATGCCGAATGCAATAGGGTAAATTTGGATATTGGCGTCTTGACATGTTGCAATAATTAATTTGCCTTGATATTTAGCTTTCAGAGTTGTACCATCAACTAGAATTACGGGTCGAATTGCATTTTGAAAACGCCGAATACATTGTCCGAGCGGAATGAATAAATACTTAAAACAATTATCGCTCCCCGTCTCAATAAAAAATGTCGTGCCAAGATTAGTTGTCCCCATGTTATGGCAATACTTGGCCAATTTAGCATAGCTCTCCTTAGCCGATCCCATTAAATCCTCCAACGCACATTCTTTAGCCTTCCAGGCTTTCTGATAGTTCATGACCACTCCATACTCTTGACGGACGTCGTTAATGATGTTTGAAGGTCTGTAGATCGTCTGTGGGTCCTGATACTTGTACATTAACTGTCGACCAATAAACCATGCTCGACCTTGCTTGTGATCGTTTCGAAGGATTCCCACTTCGCAAATATGTTTCCGTGAATACTTGCGAATTATGAAGCACTCATTCGTGTCTATCTTAGTTGCCTCTCAAGCGCCAATTGCAACTGCCTTCGACGCAGGTAACTGTCAACAATGACTTGTTTGATTTCTTTACCTTGAACTCAAAGTTATATTTTAATGCCAGCCAGTGCATAGCTTCCTGCAAATCTTTCTTGGCTTCAAATAGTTGCTCGACATACAAGTCCTCATAATCGGGAGCCACATGGGAAGAATTGGAGGACGGTCCACTTGTTCCAACATGTGAGCGCCCACCCAGCTCATGTCTCTGTCGGGATAAAGCAATCAAATTCTCATTTGTAAACTCGTTTATATTCTCATTGTCTTCAACGTCGACGGAATTCTGTGCGTAACAGCGATATCACGATCAGAAGCAACTGTCTCAGGAATAACCACATCATCCGCAGAAACTATCTCCACTGTCCCAAAAACCTCGATCATTGTTATCCGTTCTATCTGAATCTTCGCGTTCACCTTTGATAATATCCTTCATTATTAAAGTCACACCAAGAACAGTCGAAGTCCGATGCATTTTATTCAATTCTAATAGATAATTCAATTCAACATCATTAGTAACGAGTACCGGTGGCATCAGAATGGATGAATCCCCATAACCGTTGAATAGATATCTCAATTGCATATCGTATTGAGATTGATCGACATTCATCTTATTTTGCAAATCGTGGTACATTTTTAAGTATGGTGTACTCTCTGGTATGGAAATTGCAATATAACCACGTATGTCACTCGTCCATCTCCATTCCCACCGATTATTTTCATTCAATTCGAAATCATCGAAATAACAGACGTGGATTATCATATCTGCATGAGGAAATGGATTTAATCAACTTCATTTATTAATTATAAGAAAAAATAATACATTGCCAACAAAAATCAGTGCAAACAGTCGGTTGTCAACAGACAGTCAACTGTTAACAGCCGACTGTTGACTTTTAAGCAGCCAAAGAGCCGACTGTTTTGCTATTTTCTGCATTAATTTCTTCTTGTACGGTTCTAAAAAAAAATTATAGATCTATTCAAATTTTTTTTTGATACGTAACATCTGCTACAAAAAATTTATACCAACTATTACTATGTCGAAATAAATTTTCTCTATTCAAACATATACTAATTTACTGAAAAAGAAATTAAACATGCGTAAATATACTTACCGATTTGAAAAAATTGATATGAAAAAAATTTCCGACTTCAGCATTTGAACGTTTTTTGAGATGTTGAGATTCAATTAGATGAAAGATGAGAGTTTTTTCTGTCTTGCAAGCTCGTTTTGAAGTTTTATAAGTAGGGAAGTATTTTGTTTTCAATTATTAATTAAAATGGTAGTAAAGTCTTTTTAACAATAAATTGTTTTGTAATTGTATAATACATTTAAGGACATCCTTGTCTTTTATCATTCAAGAGGCCAATGTGATAATATTCATGATTTTCAAAGTCAAAGTGAAATTTCCTCCCTTTGACTGGATCAAATTTAAAAGTATCCCTGTAAATCACATTGATGAATTGACTGCGAAATCATTTAGGACTCATTTGACATAACTTTTATTTTGCTTTTACTTTTCCTTCTTGTAAAAGAACTTTTAGAGGAAACTACCAAAATATTTGTTTAAAAACTAGTATTTAAAAATACTTCTCATTCTGAAAGTGCTTTTAATGGAAGGCAGACTGAGCTGACTTCCTCTAAAAACTCTTTTAATTACCAAAAGCACTTTAATAAAATTAACCAAACGGGTCCAAAATCAATTTTTGGGTTTAAAAGCTTCTTTTGGCTTTTCAAAACCATGCCAAACGGCACTCTAGCAAGTGTAAGCTCATAGTAAACTCGAAAGGTCGCATGCCAGCAAATTGAAACAGCTACTGGGCTGGTTGTATATTTTATATGCCAACATGAACATTTCCTATATGTAAGGAAATTAGAAACTAACCAAGCCAAGCTCTTGTGCCTTTCTATAACATATTACACAAGAAAGTCGGAAAGGGTGCCAGAAGTAAAGTGACATTCTTTCGCACTAAAACTAAAACGATAATAATCAAGAATTATACATCACATGAACAAATAAAAACCGCAAAAACTCTTCAACAAACCAGATTAAATCTAGTGCTTGTCCTCCTTGGGAGAATCCTTTCCAGGTATCTCCTTTGGTTTTGTCTTCTCCACTTCCCTATAACAGGATCAAAACAAGAATTAAAAGTCATATTCATGTTAATACATGACAATTCCATTAATTGGTCCAGCAAAACTGAAAAAGCAATCGACATGTTCCATACAAGAAAGGACCTCAAAGGAAAAAAATATATCGTGCTCAAGTCTTCAAAACTCAAGTAACACCAATTTGGTTTTCCACTGGTTTTCGTTCATAAAAGATACAGTAGAACTCAACCTGAATTCTGTTCCCAAAAATAACTTGAGATTTTGTTTTGAATCATGCTATTTGTACATTCATTTCCTACACCTTTGTTGACATTCTGTGAGGTGTCAAAATCGAGGCCATTGATTGATTTAAGTGTTGTTGAAATTAATGGCAAAATTGTGTGCGTCACATTTGTCAACCACAATGTATACCAAGCAAAATAATTTTGTTTTTCCAGGAGGCACGCGCAGTATTCTTATAATAATAATAATAATAATAATAATAATAATAATAATAATAATAATAATAGCCATTGATTGATTCAGGTGTTGTTGAAATTAATGACAAAATTATGTGCCAACTCACATTTGTCAACCACAATGTATACCAAGCAAAATAGTTTTGTTTTTCCCATGAGGTAGAAGCAATATTCTTTTCCTTTAAACCAACAATAATAATAATATTATTATTATTATTATTATTTTCCTTTGATGACCGTGGGTGTTCGAACCAACTTACACGCACCTCGACTAATCCAACGGGACCTTGAAATTTACAGTCGAGGTACTTACCTTAGTGGCCCTGAAAAGGTGATCATTGAGGAGCAAATCCAAAACTTGACCATTGAGCTACCACTCATGGTTAATAATAATAATAATAACAACAATAACAACTACTACTATTGTTTTGCATTCTGCACGAGTGCATGTAAGTTGGGGTCGAGTGGGGTTGGCTCGAGGACACAATACATTACATTCAGTATACTATATCATCTATCAACGTATAACAAAACAACTTTCTAACGATTATAGTTCACCTAAAGAAAACTAAAATCATATAGACTCCAAGCTTGGTTTAATTCTTTCCTTCCACTCACTTGCATGGCACACATTTTTCTTAAAGCAGCAACAGAATAACATAAATAAAAATGAAAATGAATGCAAACATAGTGGATAACTTTATGACTTATGCAAGTATATTAATTTGAAAAGAATTGGTTTAGATGCTCAATCTTGATAAAAGTCCAACAGCCAAATATATTGTTGTTCTGATGTATCGAGATATACTAATGAGGAATTCCTCATTAAACTTTGGCACTGAAAAACAAATTACAACCAATATCACATTCATAACACCAGTGTTCGATTTTTCTCTAATTATCTTCAAAGGGCTAAAGGCTAAAGTCTTGAACATAAAGGAACCAGATTCAGAAGCAAAATCATGTTGAATTCTTTGATAATTACCGAACCCTAAAAATTTTAAAAATATACTCATCTTGAACGGACATAAACATACATCTCAAACGATCTTTGAGAAGAAATTACTCAAATAGCTATTCTCAATATCAACTATGTTCAGTGTAGGAAGCTTCTTTCCCATCCTAGCGCAGAAACCACATAAATGATTTAAACACCAATCAACCTTAGCATCCTTAACATCGCCTGATCTTCATTCAATAGTTTACCTTAAACATCAAATATTAGCATTTTCTCAAATGCTTTCTACCTCGACAAACAACATAGAGAATTCTTGGCTTGAAATTTACTTCGAACACATTACTTTTAAGTAACAAAAAATTACTTTTAACTTATTTCAATAGAAAGAAGAAATTATTTTAAACTTAATTATTCATTTAAAAATAAACTTTTTAAGCTTCGCTAAACAAGGCCGCAAATTTCAACATATAAGAACTCAACATGAACACCTCAAAAATAGTCACCATCAAAATTCCAGAAAACTCGAAACAAACAAGGTTAATATAACGGGATAAAAAATGTCTATAATCAGATAAAACCATGCATAAATACATAGCAACGGAAAGCGTACTTAGCGGCAGTAGCAGATTCTTCTTCAAGCCAATTACGAATTTGGCGGACGTTACGGCGGAAAATGGCCGCGGAATGTTTCACATCGCTCCTCAATAGAAGAACAACTGCACCCACTCCGGCCACCGTCAGTATGAAATTCGTCAAAGCCATTTCATTAAATTGATTGATTTTCCTTCAATATATAATATCGAAACTTTGAAATTTGGTTTGTTAATATGCTATCAGGGTCAAACTATGATTCAATTTGTAGGGTTCTGGAAATGGGTTTCTTGAAAAGTGAAAATTGAGAACGATTAAAGTCGCATGTTTGGGCCGAAATACCAAAGTCCACTGCGCAGAAACAATTCGGGCCTGACTTCAATTGGATTGCCCAGCAATTAAAAAGGGAAAAATTCGTAGTTGAGATATCACCACACGCTAGCCCGTTTGGGAATGATTTTGAGAATTGATTTTTTGACTGTTAGGAGAAAAGTAGAGGTCCACCTGTGAGAGAAGAAATCAAATCTGACGGCTGAAATAATTAAATAACGGTAAAAAAATCAATTTTTGGAGGGAAAAAATCACTCCCAAAGAGGCTCCTAATAAAAATTCATTTTTTTATATTTTCAATTTTTTTCACCAAATATACTACAATATTCTTAGTATAATTGAAATTTGTAGAATATATTCATTTCCATATCTAATATAAAAAAAAGTGGAAATTACACAAAACCATATATTAAAAATTCAACATTCTAAAATCAGATGGCAAGTTTAACATTTCAAAAATCAGAAAATTTATTTTAATCAATATTTTTACTAACCAAAATTCCAAACCCTAATAAAATTAAATTGATATACCCACCCCCACCCCCAACCCCCAAATCAATTCAGTCTTGACCTTCATCCTCTTTCTCTCTCCTTCCCTCCATTGTCAATTGGATTTTGTAAGCAGCGATGTTGAGTTGGCGAGATTCGTCGCTACAGCCATGATGATGATGTTGTCGCCGTCGGTGGTTTTATTGGTAGTGGTGCTAAGGTTGCAGTGATGATTGTGGCGTCGATTTTTGGCGGCATTGCTCACAGCATCAACGCAATTTCTGCAGTTGTAGAAGTCGATCGGAGTTGAAGCGGTGTTGGATCTAAATTTGTGGTGGCTGTGGAGTGATTTTGGAGTGGTGGCTATAGTGTGGTGAGATGGGGCAGGCGGAGGCGGGTTTAGGGATTTTGTGGTGGCGTTGATTGTGGCGTTGGTGGTTGTGTTGTGTTGGTTTACGGTGTTTGGTGCTGTAATGGTACTTTTTGCAGTCGTGGCTATGGTTGCTGTGGTGGTGATGTATGGTGCGATGGTGGTGTTTGTGGTGCGACAGTTGTGATGGTGGCGTGCCGTTCATTTTACTTTATTTGTCCAAAATTTTCGCTGTGTTGATGATGTTGCGGTGGAGTAGGTCGTTGCAGTGGTGTGGTGGCTTTGTTGGATCCAATGATAGCGGAGGTAATGTTGGATATGGTGGTGTTGTGGTTCTGATGGTGGCAGTGGTGGTGGACATTGTGTGTGAGATGGTGTTGATGGTTATGGTGATATGTTGGTGGCTTGGGTCTATTGAGGTGGTGGTGGATATGGCACAACGATTTGTTGATTTGAGCTGGTGATGTTGTCATCGAGAGATGGCAATGGTGGTAGTTATAACGACGACGATAACGGTGGATGTGGGCTATTGCAAGAAGTGGCTAGGTGGTGGTCACAAGCGTTGTGACCAACTAATAAGTTGAATGTGGCCAATAATTAGTTAATTTGTAATAAATAAATAATACGTGACCTAAAAATTGTGGTTGTGACTTATAATTTATTGAATTGTACCCGAAAAATTAATCAGTGACCTATAAAATTTTGGATTCGTAACCGAAAAATAATATGTGACCTATAAAATTTTTAATTTGTGACTGAAAAATAAGTTGTGACCAATAACGTGATAAGTCGTGACTAAAAATTAATCGGTGACTAATTATTTTTTGATTTGTGATCAATAAACAAATTGTGACTCACAAAATTTTTGAATTGTGATCATAAAAAATTTGTGACATAAAATTTTTGATTTGTGATCAAAAAATAATAATTAACTAATTATATTGTTAATTTGTGACTAAATTGTATAGATCCATGACCTAAATATATTTAATTAATAAAATAATTAATTAACTAATTAAATCATAAATAAATTTTAATAAAAATCTGATTTTTGAAGTTTGAAACTTATTTTCTTAATTTTAAAATGTGTGATATTTAAATTCTTACTTATGAAATTTCTCCATAAAAAAAACCTTAAATGATTCCAACAAATATGTCCCCATTAATCACCCCCAATTCATGCCCCACTCCAATTCAAGCCCCATATTCCCCAAACCTCCCCTTTTTACCTTTCTACAATAGAAGCAAGTTCGTAAATCAAAAAAACAAGAAATCTTCAATACAATACACAAAATCTACGAACCGCATCTCAACCAGTTAATTATGTTTATAACCTAAATGTGAATCCTACCATTTCAGCCAATCAATGAATGAAATTCTTTGTTATGGTGTTAGATCAAATAAAATATTTTGCTTTATATGAAATGTATCTGGTGTTTGGTGTTTTCTTGGGACAAAAATTTAAAATGTCATGACATACCAGATTATTGATATGTTATTTGTATTTTACGTCATTGTTATTTTTGTCAGTGAATGAAAACTCTCATGTCCACATAGTTCCTATGGTTTTTATGCTTTGTGCCCTCCCATTTTTTGGATATGCTAGGAAAATACAAGTATTCATGTGTTGATTAATATATTGAACAGAGTTGAAGGCTCATCCAACATGCTATTTCTGTCATTATTGGATGTTTTTGGTGGTTCATTACATGAGGATTGTCATTTCTCTTTACATGGGTTCTTGCTATAGTCGTTTTCACGGTTTAAATAGCTTATCCCTACTTGTCACTGCTTTGATCCTATTGTTAAGCTGCATGTATATACTATCCATTTTCGAATGTTTGCAAACGTTATCTATTGTAAATATTATATAATGTTGTGTATCAATAATGCATCACGTCTAGAATCGCTTCTACATGACATATCATTGTAACATTATTCGAGGGTGAAGTTCTGTACCATTTATTTTGATACTACATATATCACAATTATCAATTTAAAATTGTATTTATAATACATCTTACAGAAAACTCACTAAAGGGATTCTTCCATATATTCTAAAAGTAAACATTCGTCATTATGGAGTTAAAAACATGATTTTGTTGATACCCAAAGTTTAAAATAACATTTTAGTGTAATAATGTAATTGCATAATATTTATGAGGGATTTTATAGCATGTGGTTGTGAAATAGGAAGTCTCACGCAATATCCAAAAAGAGATGCTGAAAACTACAAGTCAAATTCCAAAATTGAAAAGAATTTATTCAAATAAAAAAAAAAAAAAATCAATTTCATGTACCCACACACATAAATGATTTAATTTAAACACTTATTCAAAACTTGTTTCGCCAACACTTAAAAAGTATTAAATATTTGTCATTGGTGGGTTTACTACGTCTAAAACTCGCTTACGTTTTCCCACATGGCTCAGCGGCAGAAGTTGCGTACAAATACATTAGATGTTTAACTGAAATCTATACATGTTGTCTAATAATTTTAAATCAAAGCAAAAGGAAAAGGAAAAGACAAAGGCAAAACAGATTAATACATCAATTTCGATTTCAGCTAATTCTCTAAACATACGAAACTAAAATGGGGAATTCATTGATTCTAGTTTATCACCTTATTCATTGATCATATATCGCCTTATTCATTGATCATTCTAGTTCATTCATATTCTAGTTTATCACCTTATTCATTGATCATATATCGCACATTATGGGGAATTCAGATTCATATGGACTGCCACAGTAAATCAGATTACAGCGTATAAAAACAATAAAGAGGGCAAACAGTCAGTTACGTAAGTTTTCTTACTTGAAGACGTACCACAACTTATCGGCAAAGTTAATTCAAAAGAAAAAACAAAATAGAGTTTCCGTTAATTCACGTGATCAATTATATTACATACAGTTCAAACATTGGATGTTCTATACTTCATGGGTTAGAACCATCACACTGAATCCAAATATATATAACATATTACAAATATTATTGTTACATCAAAACATGAAATAATGGAGTAAAGGATGGAGTTACTGAATTCAAGGATTGTTTTGATTGAATAATTTAGCAGATTCCAGTTTTTTATTCTTGAAGCCAAAGAAGAAAGACATACAGAATTTCTCCCCAAAATGCTGAGTATTGTTTTCCATTTAATTAAATTTTTTTTTTTTTTTGTATATATATATATATATTGCAAGATCTAGTATATTGAGAATATTTTATTTTAAGTAGTGCATATGTGGTTTTTTTTTTCCCAAATTCGTATGTGGAAATTACACACCAACATGTTTGTAAAGATCAAATTCAAAAATAAGATGTAAGATTTACTTAATCATAAATTAGGTGATTATTTAATTATTATTAATAATTTAAAATCAAATTAATCCCCACCAATTCATCTCGACCAACACTATCAAACCTTCATTCTTCTCTCTCTTCACTCCCAAATCTGATCATTGTAACTGTTGGGGAATACACCGATTATGTGCATATTATATTCACAAAAAATATATATACCGTTTATATTCACAAAATCGAAACAAGGTTTCGACTTACTGCAATGGAGTTTGAGAAACTAATCAATGATTATAGAATCTGACCATTTCCATTCTTGAATTAAAATATGTGATTCTTTATATCGAACCTTGCATAAATCATATAAATAAAATTAATCATTTTCTAAAATCAAGTAGAAATGAAATCAGGAAAAAAAATTATATATAAGTGATGCGATTGGCCGAAGCGAGTATAACTCTTTCCTTAAGATGAATTTGCCCCGTATCGGTGCTAACGATTTTTCGACAATCATCTCCCAAGATACAACGACCACGTCAAGCCATAGGAGCACTCCAAATGGCTTCGACCAACGAACTCGAATGAAATTTCCTCTATACCAAGGAAATGCATGAAAATGATACGAAATTAGAAAGAAGAGAATTGCAAGAGGAGAATGAATGTTCAATACAATTGGTGTACCCAAAATCATGTCCATAGGGTTCTATTTATAGATGTAGAAATGATGCAAATGAAGTAGTGTGGGCCAAAACCTGCATCATTTCAAAAAGTTGCAACACTTTATTTCTTCCAACTTTGGTCCAC